AACATACCAGATGAATAACCCTTTTTTTTCGTGTTTTCTGCTTGCTTCCTCCCTTCAAATAGTTCGAATGACTTTATTTATAATGAGTTTTTGATTCCCACTAGTTGATCAATAATAGTATATTAGTTTTTTCTAAGTGAGTGGAATGGGTTGGAAGGTATGGGCATCTCGTTGGATGTTGTGCGTGAGTAGGATGTTTTTACTGTTAAAAGAAAGTGGTTTGACTGGTACCTTTAGTAGAACCCTTGATCGATACATATCACCAAATTATGTGCATAAAGGTGTTTTTGTCTTAATTACATATAGAATAAATGATTATAAATATAAATTAATTGTTGTCATATCTATGATGAGGATGGATGGAAATATTTGATATAAAAAATGTACTATAAAAATTAATTTAACAAATAATTATAATGGAAGAAGTAAATGATTTATGCATATAAAATACTTCTATAATTATATTTGAATATCATTTTTAAAAGTGATATTCGAGCTATTTTTCAACTGAATTGATATTTGATTAATTCATAATATCAATTTAATTGAAAATTTTATAATAATTAAAAATAATTTTATCTTTCGCACATGTGTAAGTTTTTTTTAATAGATAAGTCACTTTATATTTGTCTAAGAGACTTCCAAAATAAAATTTAAAAAGAAAATAACAAAAAAACATAAGTTGATTGATCAAATTTTTCACTTTTTAATTTATTAGAAATTAATTTTAAAAAGTAAATAAAAACAAAAAATAATGGGAGAAAATAATTCACTCAAATATTTTTTTCAATTCTTTTAAATGTTAATACAACTAAAATAAAAATATTAGAGAATTTTTTTTTATAATTAGCCAAATTTAAATGAAATTGTATCAATTTTTTTAAAATCTTATGAAATAATAATCCTAAAATAATAATAATTAAATTATAATTAAAATATACCAATTTCCCATATCAACCATGGAGGGGTACAAAAGAGTTTATAATGAATTCAGGGAAAGACTTAGGCGAGGACAGGTGGAGGTCGCCTCTCTTAAAATTTTAATTTTTTACATATTTTAGATTTTTTTTATTTTTCCTTTAATATGTTTTTATGTATTAAATTTTTATAAGTTTATTTCTCCTTAAAATTTTATAAGTTCATCACTCTTAACATAAAACTTTGCGTCCGACACCGAATGAAATTCCAAATATTAAAAATTCATAAATCAAATTAAAACACTGCCCAATATAAATATTCACAAATATAATTTTTCTAATCTCATACTAATTAAATTCCAAAGTTGTCAACTTAAGTCGTTAGAAAAATTGGTTTAATATTAAATCCATAATTAGCCCAATGAGATATGAGATTCCTTTGTCCGTTGTAAAGACCACCAGATTCCCTTAATTTGTTTAATATACTTCTCAGGTCTTTGTAAATAATTTTTTAAGTTTGAAATATCTACTGATAGGGTAAACTAGGTATTTAATCATTTAACTCTTTATGCAGTTCTATTTTGGTCATCAAACTAATATTTTTTTCTCAAAATCATATCTAACATTATGTTTTGGTTTCATTTTGATCACTCGTCATTAGAAAATCTAGTTTACCCCGTTCTACTGATAGAGACTAAATTAAACCTAGGGTAAACTCTGGAGTTCAAACTGTGAGGCTTAAGGATCTTAAAGACTAGTGATGCAATTTTACCATTTTGATGAACATGTTAGTGAACATTGAAAGAATATATTAGCGACTACTAAATGGACATGTTTACGATCGTTATATGAACATATTTGTAAAAGTTAAACAAATCAAATACAAATGCCTTAAAAAATAAAACGAACATAAACATAACTTTATTTGTTCGACGTGATAATAACAAAACTTTGCTCGACTTTCTTGAAGCGATGCCTTAATTCTGGTGTGGAATTCCCAGACATTTTCCGATAAGCAGCAAGTGGATTTGTGGGGCTTAAATTTTTGTAAGATTGTTAATGTTCATTAGCAAATCAAGCTTTCGTAAAACAAAACCCAAATAAATGCAAATTGCAACGAAGTTGATTGCGAAATCTCTAATTAACTTAATCATTTAGCTAATTAAACTAACGCTTGTTTTTCATGTAGACCAACCAGCAGACCGTTTCTTTGTCTTCCACGTGGAGCCATAATTTCAAGCTAATATTGCTGAAGATACTAATTTTTTTTACCCATTTGTTTTTAGTATTATTATTAATATATTATTATAATTTTATTTATTATTATATATTATTATTAAATAATTACAAATAACATTGTAGACCCAACAAACTGGCCCAAACCTAACAGAAACCTTAAAACCCATTTAGAGTTTGATCTCAGCTTCAGCCGCCGCTCTTCTCTCAGTCGTTGGATCAGACCTTGATCCAACGGTCCAAGGACCTCCAGATGCAAACCCTAGGGTATGATACCCTAGGGCCATGTCCAAGCCGCCGCTTTTGTTGTCTCCACTGCCACGTTCAACGCCGCTCAGCCGCTGCCACGAAGCCTCCAGAAGAATTGAAGAGAACCGTCCACGTTGAGGGCTACGGTGAGTCACCACTATAGTTTGGTGACTCACCAAACTACAACCCTTTTACCCGGTCCGAGACAAGCACCGTGATGGCTATAAAGCCATCAACCGAACCTGCAAAGAAAAAAAAAAGAGGAAGAAGCCAGAGAAAAATAACACAACAACCACCAAAATCCATAAAACATAAGGAAAGAAAAAGGAGAGAAGCTTACCAATAGAGACACGCGATCATCGGAGCCTTCACATCTTGTCGAAGAACCGAAAATACCGAAGGTATTTTCTTAGATTTAAGAAAATCTAAGGGTTTTTAGGAAAAAAAGGAGGCTAGATTCGGGTTCGTGGCAAGTAGATCTTTAAGATTAGGGTGTTTTTGCATATTCCGGCCACCGTGGGTGGTGGCCGGCGGTGGTGTCGGTGCCGGAGTATGGCTATCAGCCGGTGGCTGGCCAACCTCCGTTTGGAGGTTTGAAGAGAGAGGCGAGAGAGTTTAAAACTCTCTCAGTTTAGAGAGAAAAAGAGGAAGAAGGAAAGAAAAGAAAATGGCCTTAAGGCCATTCGGTTCAGGGTTAAAAACCCCTCCCCGAACGATGCCGTTTTGGGGAGGGGTCTGTGTGTAATTAATAAAAGGACAAACCTTGTCCGTAGCCCAGTTGTTTTGTAATTTCCCATTATAGTCACTGAAATCAAATTATGAACTTTTTAATTTGATCTCTTAATTTTATTTAATTTATAAATTAGTCATTAACATTAATATATATATTTTAATTAAAATAACCGATTTAGTCCTCGTAACTTTATTAATTAATATTTTAAACCCTGAATAACATGTTTTAATTTCTTTTAATTTGATATACGAATTTGATATAATTTTAATCTAGTCACTAAATTAATAAAAGGTAGAATAACATATTTAGTCACTGAAATTTTAAATAATTATGATTTATGTATTTAATTCTATTAGGTTATAATTTAGTCACTAATTTCAATTTTTATTTATTTTTTACAAGTTTTATTTATTTTAAATATATAGTTTTAATTTTGTTCATTATATGTTAATTTTATATGTTTACTTTTAATTATTATTACTATTATTATTATTTAGCCATAAATATATATATTTTATAATATTTATTTTATTTATTAAAATCTTATTTAATTACTTTTAACTTATTTTAATCATGTTTTAATATTTATTTATTTTTCAATATTAAGAAAGGGCAATCTTAAAACAACTGGATGTCTATTTTCTGATATTTTTAAATAAATAAATATCCTATTTTATAAATTATATATTAATTGTTTTAATTATTTATTTATTTTTTAATATCGAGGAAAAGAGCTGTCTTAAGGCACCTAGAAGTCCTTTTCTGATATTTCTAAATAAATAAATATTTTATTTATAAATATATATAAATTAATATATATTTTTTTCATAATTATAATTTTGAAATAATAGGATTATAAATTAAATATATTTTGAATTTTTAAATTTCTAATAATAGAGACAATTTATAATTAAAAAGTACCAATTTTGGGCGTTGTAGGGGTGCTAATCCTTCCCTAAACGTAACCGACCACGAATCCCTTTTTATTATTAAAAAGAACGAATTTTTGGTTAAAACGCAGATCAGTTTATCTTTTAATCGATGTTTTCTTAAAAACTCTTTTAAAGGATGATTTTTAGGTATTCGACCTACCTGACCCAAAAGGCCGATGGCGACTCTCAAATTATTTTTAAATCAAAATTTTTTTTTATCTACATTATTTTTCTCGCCAAGTAAAATTCGTGCCCGGACGAAAACCGGTTACGACAATTGCCTCTTTAGTTTTTTAATCTTAATTTTATTTTTATAATACGATTAAGCACATCTTTAAACCAAGTGCAGTTCCCCCGTGCATTTAAAATCCAAAAATTTTCACCTTAATTAAGGTTATTAAATTTAAACATATGATTATCTAATTAGAAGTATTAGTTCAGATATTGCTAGATAGATTATTGAAAATTACTGGTTCTAGAATAGTCAAGCGTGCGCGTAGAATCCCTCGGGAGTTAAAAGATCATTATTTTATATTACCTGTTAAGTATAGCATAAAATACTTTTGATGTGGCTCTGCGTCACTGATAATTAAGTTGGGACATTAGAGGTGTAAATGGAGGGCGATGACGGTAATATAATTTGTCTTTGCTTTCAGAGAATGAAACCACGTTATAACATATATTTGATCTTAGAAAAAGAATGAATGAGGTTTTCATGTAGTTTTATAAGCATCGTTTAGGGATTAAATTATGTTAACAAAGACCCTGATTTTCTTGTTAAAGAAATGTTCAAATTGAAAGGAAAAGGAACCAAATGGAACGTTAAGAGTTCAACATCAGCGTCCAAAGCTTCAAGTTGGATTATTGCGATTTCAGGCCCAGTGTATGAAGGGGTCTAGCAGGCTCTACCACAAATTGCAAACAAACTCTATCAGACCAAATGCACAATAATGCATATATACCTTCAAAAGTTCATTTGGAAAAGGTTGGAATTTCTTCTTACGGGATCATTTTGGGACCTTTTCCAAAGAAGTGGAAAACAAGGTCTATGACTCTTAAATGTTATTAGGGAGACCTGGATATTTCTCGGTCTTGACTAGCAACAGACGATCCTCCTCCTTGCTTTAAAGAGATGGAGATGGCTCTGGCTGCCGTAACTGCAGAATCTCCCCTCTTTATAATCCTCTCAAGTTCCCTCACCTTCTCTGACAGCAATCCAACATTTGTGTCGGTGGATTGAACCAACTTGTTTGCAGTTTCCAGGGCTGTGCATAGCTGGAGTAAACAGAGGGTAGTGTGTTAACAGTTAGAATGATCGAAATCTATAATGGTCCGACTCCTCGGCTCTTTTGAACTTTCAATATCCATATCAGACACATATCCAGATACTGTGGGAAAATGTAAAAGAATTGAAAATACTTAATGTTGGACACGTTTTCATATTCGACACACACACACACACACACGTAGCATAGATAAAATAACCTCTTGAATGGAAATTGTCGAAACAAAACTGAGAATGCAGGATGCTTGAACAAGAGCTAAAATCAAAGAATCGATGCCCAAATTGGAGAAATGTTTCTAGTTAAAGGAATAAGGCTCCCTAACAGATTCCAGTACGAATATATACTCAGGCTAATGCACGACAAAAGTTGCAAAGGGAACAGCTGAAAATAATCAATGGGAAGCTGTTCTATACATGCTTTAAAAGAGATTATCTAATTACCTCTAAAGTTAGAGCTGTCCATGAATGATCTGAACCCTCGAGTGCCTTGTTCAATTTCTCGAAGTTTTCCTGAATGAAACCACTAAGCGTCTGACATAGCAAAGAAACAAGCTCTCCCAAAAACACACACACACACACATATTGTGCTCATTTCAAGCATTTACCAGCACAAATCATGAAGATGTATTGAACCATCCCATATGATAATCAAAGCTACAAAAATACTTAAAAATCAAATCAAAAGGCAATAATGAACATAACTTGGTTGTGTATTTGTTTTCCCATCATGTATAGTAGAGTTTGAAATGAAATGGCCTATGATTTAACACTAGGGTGATTTATATGAGGAAAAAAATGTATAGGGGAACATCAGCAACAACAAAAAATATACAGTTTCAACGAATTAAAGGAAGAAAAACACCCTAATTAATTTTAGCCATTTTACTCTGGAAATCAAATGCTAAAATTTTCAACAACTCAACTTGGTTCAAGCAATAAAATTTTGTTAAAACAAAATTAAAAAAAAAATTAGAAAAAGAGAGAGATAGAAGGAATTAAAAGATTCTCCAATTTGGGTTTTCCTATGATATTGTAAATGAGGAACAAGAAAGGAACCTGGAAGAGTTTGATGAGGTCCAAGGATTGAGACGAGGCATCAACGGAATCAAGAAGTGATTGTGGTGGAAGAGTGGCATCACGGCGGGGATGGTGTTCCAGCGCTTCACCGGATTCTTCCCCAACGTCGCTAAGCAGATCCCCTATGGTAAGCAAAGGCCCTCCAATTCCTCTCATCCCTTTTATTTCTTTCCTCTTGGTTCTTTACTCTGACTCGGTGCTCCTGCTCTTAGCTCGCTTGCATTAGTCTGGTTTAAGGTTTCGCCATATTTAATGGGCTTCTAGAAATGGGCTTTAGGCCTACTAGAGGCCCCTTCAAAAGTTTCATCTCAGAAGGACCTAAATTGTAAGAAGGGAGCAAAGCAGCGTCCTATGAATTATAATCAACATGTTGGTTAGATGGTTTCTCTTCTCTCCCTTTTTCTTTTGAAATTTGTGTCTAAAGGTTTATGTTTAAAACTGCAAATTTGGTGAAGACACCTTATTTACTAAATTATCCATCGGCTTTTGCGGTAAGTCTTACCAATTCATTGACCATTTTGATTCAAATATCCGATTTTTTAGCTTTAACTCTTGTGCAGAAGGGGAAAGCTCAAAGCATTGTTTCGTGTGCATGCTCACAATCGACTTGAGGTTTGTGGTTGCTTAACTTTTATTTGTTTTATGACGATACTCGGATGATAAATCTTGTATGTTGCCATGGGAGACCGTGATATACCGCTAGGTATATTGCAAAATTGATGAGTTACCTACAGATGTTCTAGTCAGTGGAATTTCTTCACAGAACAGAGCTGTAAGTATGAAATTCTCTGAGTTTATTAATGTTCTTTATGTTATTGTAAATGCTAATGTTTCTTTGTATGTAGGCTAGCCTACTTGTTTATATGGGGTGGATCGTCTAATAACTGCCACTATATTTATCTTGTCTTATTGGTTGAGGGAGATATTGTGGTAATTAAGGCTGATCCCTTAAGATTGTGGACCAAGATGAAAGGGTCAAACAATTCTACTCTGGTGGAAGATTGTAACTTAGTCCAAGAAGTCAATGGGGTAGTTAATAATGTAACCCCTCGGACCGATATGGGTGACCGAGGTGTGACATTAGGGTTATCGGAGCGACCCACCGTAAAAATCCCAGAAAATCAATTTTTGTTAAAACATGTACAATCATAAAACAATTTATAAACACAAAAGTAAAATGTAACAATATTCAGAAATAAAACAGATTCCAGACTCGGATATAAAAACGAAATACAATCTACATGCCCCTAATCACATGCAACGTACTCAGCAAGCAACGCCGGTGGAACTCTCATACTTATGTTGATAGCTACATTGGTTCAATCCTTTTAACCTGAAAAGGTGAGTAACAGAGTGAGCTTTGGAAAGCTCAGTAATACAGTACTACCAAATGATGCTGAAATGCATGTAGATAACATATAAGCATATATTTCCTTATTGATTCAGACATTTACATACTTTTATGTTGAGCTGAGGTCCCACTGATATCTCAGATAGTAAAAGATAATAAGCTTTTAGTTCAAAGGAAATGTTGCGGATGACTGACTTCAGGAGATCAAAATAAGGTGTCTAGTGTGTTCCCACAAAACCAGTGAAAAGGTATAGATCTTTTTAAAACAATAGCAGTTTAAAACGTATTTTTCAAAAACCATAGTAATCCCTCCAACCGAACGCCATATGCAGTTCCCCATAACTGCATAACCTAAGGGAGCATCTTGGGGCCTAATACCCTACCCAAGGAAGATTCTCGGGGCCGCAGAGCCTACTCAAGGGTCGCCTTAGGTCCATAAGGAATTACCAATCAATATTGAACCTATTCAAGGATTTACCAACAACGATTAAACCTGCCAGAGATAGGAATTACCAATCAGTACTTAACTTATAAAAGGAATTACCAGCAGCAACTAAATCTGTCAGAGTCTTCAGTCATACCAGAGTCCCAGAGTACGCCATATAAAAATAATTTCAATCAGTAAATCAGAGCAATGATCAGAGATCAGAACAGAAATAAGAGAAAATATATGTGTGGTCAGGGAACACACTAGAGATTCCAAATATTATTCGATGGTATATGATAATCTTATCGGGCAGGGAAAACACGGATCTTCAGTATACTAATAGAATGCCGGAAGTAAGACTCACTATCGAAAGAGTTCATTAGCTGATAGGATCATCAGTTATTCAAAACGTGATTTATCAGGATCATATGATATTCATATATTTTCGGAGGCACTATGAAATCAGAAAGGTATTCAGAATCATTTGCATCTAAGTTACTTGTGTTTTCAGATATTATAGGAGTTATTCCATTATTCAGGAAATTAGAGGCATTTTGGGCATTAGTTTCTTAGAGAATTCTTGGTAATTTGAGCTGATAAGGGAGAAACGAAGATTAGGGCATTTATGATTTGTGTTGATCTATAAGAATATCGAGTTAACTTGAACTGTACAAATCCCATCAATGATATCTGTCAACCAGTCAAATATTTGCACTTCTAGAGTATTCACTTTTTAATACATACAACTTGTGTCCATTGATCATCTTCAGAATCACCGCTGAGTGGGTCTTATGGAGACGAACATATATTCCAATGGTCTTTATTTCATTTCTACATTTCAACGATATCAGGAAATATCGATGTGCTTGATTTGTGGTTCATAACCCTTAGGGACGATACATCATTTAAGTTTATCAGCATTTCCAGACTTATCCAAGTCACTCACTTAATCCTAAGTCATTGAAATTACTTAGGTCATTTAGTAGTCATGTCTACCCCGATCACTTCAGAGTTTCTAGAGTAGTTTTATCGTTTCCGAAATTCAAATACATATTGTACTTCTATTTCGATTAACTTGGTTATATAATATAGTCATATAGGTATTCGATGTTGATTTGTTCATTTCAGAGCTGAGAGTATTAGTTATTCTAGGGCTGGGACGTGCTTCGAATCATATTACACTTCAGGGGCATTCCAAATAAATCATGAGTTTAATCGGTGATTCCAAGATTCCAATGGATCATGATATAAGTTCTTAAGTCATCTCCATTATCGTAATCTATATTCCTTTTTACACTTTAAGGGCATTATCGTCATTTCATTCAATTATGTCAGTGGCATTACTTCGGATAACTTAGGCTTGAAAGTATTATAGTTCCTTTAGAGTTCATAGTACTTTGTTCATTTGATCACTGGAGGTTATTTTCACCATTAGGAGATATCTGGGTCATTTTTCAGTACAAGGGTATTTTCGTAATTGTACACTATAGTGTTATTATTGGTAATTTCTTATCCAAATATTTCCATCATTTAATCTTTATTGAGATTAATCAAAATTTATGCGTTTTGAGATTAATTGATTTACTGATTTATTCATTGAACTGAGATTTGTTTCCGATCAGTCTTACCAATTTCTTTTTCGAGCCGTTAAAGTCTTATACGGTGTTCTGTCCTTAATCCAATTTCCGTATGAGTCCAAAGATAGTTAACTACTCTAATGGACCAATTATTTCCATTCATGCATTTACCATTTGATCGTCCTTGAATTTTAATTCAATGTCCAATAATTCCTTGGATATATAACAAACGAATTTATGTCAGAAAATGAACTTAAATGAGAAACCAAATTGAATTTGAAGATAAAACATTGAAAAATGGCATACCGAGTGCAAATTTGGTAAAACGAACTTCAGATTCGGACTCAAAACGTCGAAAAACATAAAATAAGGCTTTTCAGAAAATTAGACTTTTTCGGTCAAAGTCAACGGTCAGACCGCTCAAAGTCAACGGTCAGACAAGTCACCGGTTAATGAGTTGACTCAGTTAAAGTCAATCAGTTGACTCAGTGACTGGACCGGACCAGATGGGTTGGGTCGACCCGGTTTTGGAAATTTCCCTAAACCAAACAAGCCCCACATGCACCACGTAGGCAGTTTTTGGTGGTCGATTACTCCAAACGAAAACACGACACAATAATAAATCCAAAAACATTCCAAACACTAGCCAAAACACGAAGAAAATGAATTAAATATTATAACTCAACGCTTACCACGGCGGACGACGAACGGGCAACGGTGGGGCGACGAACCTGGTCGGGTTTGGTCGCACGGAGCTGGGGAACTCGATGAGAAAGGCTGTGAAGAGCGACGGTCATCGGATCGATCGGAAAACGCATAAAACTGAAATGCGGGTGGTGTTCGCAGCGGTGATTTCAAGCGCCGATTCGCGCCGATCGATGTCGAATCACGCTTCGGTGATGCCTGTTCCTCTTTATTTTTATAAATTTAATCGTCTGCTAAAAGATTATTCTTTCTGGTATATATTTCAGGTTCCCTTCCTGCCTGTGGCTCTTGCTGCGGTGGCTAACTGCAGCACAGCATATTTCTTGTGCATACACGGTTATTATCTGATGTCCTCTTATTAAGAGTAAGGATATTAATGTTAATAGATTGCCTGTGGAACAGACAATTTTAGACCTCTACATAGCAGAGATGCTTGTATGTACTCTCAAACTTCTTTACCTTAATGATGTTTCAGCAATATGTGTTTCATTAGTGTTTTAAAGCGATTGGCTTGGGGATGTGAAGAATGTATTTCAGGTTTAAACCGTTGGGAATTTGTGCAATGCCCTTCATGACTGCAGACCTGAAATACATTTCGACTCCCAAACCATTTGAACTAATCTTGAAACCGGTAGTAAGATCTTTGGGTTTACTCCCTTTTTTGGAGCTTTCGGATGTTCCAAATGATATGACCTTCGCAACTTGCCTCTTGCAATAATTCATGTTTTATCTTACTTCCATGCTAATTTGGCTTTTTCATTAATTCTCTCAGACACTGCTAACTTCCCATGACGGGCCTGTAACTAATGATTTTGATGCTTCATTAATATCACAAACAAGGGATGAGCATTGGAACGATTACTCAAAAACTTCGAGTTAGTCGAGTTCGTAAGGTTTAATTGATTTTAATTTATTATTTTCTCAAACTATAAAAAAATATACATGTATCTTTACATATTCTTTTTATATTATAATATTATTTAATAAACTAAATATAATTTAAAATTACAAATTATATTTATAATATTGCGTTTTTGAAAAAATAGAGAAAGATTTGATAGAATAGAAAAGAACAAAAGTTTAATGGAAAGACAAAAATTATTTCTAACATAATCATTTATCATCTCA